TGTTCACACATGAATAGAACTATTATAGAACAGCCAATGTCCGCCCAGGCGGCAATTATCGAGATGTCCTTGATATGTCACAAAACCTTCTCCCTAGTTCTTTTTGAAGCCTTTTCATGGACACAACAGAACATTTTAAAAAACCATTTTCGAGTCACTTTTCTGAAGCCTTTTGTCAAAATGAACTTTTGCATTAGGATTCCATTTCCCTTGATGAAAAAATGCATTAAAAATAGATCGAACATAAAAATATTTTCTTGATATGAAATTACCTTCTTAATCGGTTTCTGAGTAGTGCTTACTACACACAGACATATAATTGGAAATAGGTTTCCCAATTTTTGAAATGTTCTCCACAATGCATAATTTTGCAACTGCGGAGAAGCTGTGTATTGATGAATTCGTACTTTTATATATTGATTACACTGAGGCACCGAACAACACATCTTGCATCTGATGGTCATTATTACAAACTAAATAAGTCTTCTAACACAATAAACTTCACCAAATTCCTTTCTGTTCGTTAGCAGCGTGATGTAAGCGAGACACGCTGCAAACGCGAATGCCAATTGCGAACAAGAAGAACAAAATCGAAAACAAATCAGAATTCATCGTATTGTGACGTAAGCATGAGACGTTGTGGTGGGGCAAACAAAGAAAGGGCACAAAAGAACAAAAACAATACTTTCAATATCCTTCTAAGACCCCTTTGGGAAGTGCATATTACGCCTCAAAAAAACATCCTCATGCCTACATTTCTAAAACATCCCAAAACATCCCAGGGATACCTCTCAGTAGGCAAACAAAGAAATGCCACAGAAGAACAAAAACAATACTTCAATATCCTTCAAAGACCTCTTTGGTCAGTGCATATTACGTCTCAAAATAATATCTTCATGCCAACATTTTCAAAACATCCCAAAACATCCCAGGGATGTTTGTGCTCGCTGGGAAGTTCAGTTCTATGAAGTGATGAAACTGAATTCCATTGGGATCAGACTCACACAGTATATAGGTTTATTTTTCGACAATAGGCGAGTGGACTAATTTTGTTTTGTTTCTTAATAATATTAATATTAATGTTTATTCACATAGTAATAAAATACAATTAACATAAAAAGAGATGAAAAAAAAACACTAGTTGTGAAGTAAACACAAGATCCCACTAAGGCATAGCCAGCACGTTGGTTTCTGAATGCTATCAACAAAATGTGAGCTGTGAATAGATGTTTGTACAAGTATTATCTCGAGAATTATATAGTGAAAAATAATATATTAAATTATTAAAAACATTAAAACATTAAAATATTTAAATAATAAAAGGCTGAACTACAAAAAAACGACGCAATATGAATGTATGTACTATGAAACTACAATTATAATTTTCCTATCCTTATAATAATATCCTAACCCTAATAAAGTTATAGTTCGAACAAATGAAATGAATAATATGTAATGTGTATTGGATAACCGCAATAGTCGCGATTTGATTTATTCAATACATTGATTTCTCAAGTGGAATCATCACTCAAATACCTTTCACACCATAGCACAGTTGCCATGTGTTGAAATACGAGTGAGAACTTCAGAAATATTAGTTATACAATAATTCATAAATTCTCAATTGAGTATCGGTAATATTCCTATTAGCAATAAAACATCAATTATTGTCTCAAAAAGTAAATAATAATTATATCAATTCACACTAGAGGACATTTGAATCGGTGAACGTGTCTTGTCAGTTCTCAGCATTCAGCACAAAGTTGCCAAGTCTCCAACATTTACATGATATTTTGTTATGGAGAATAAGAAATATTTGGACATTCTGGTTGCCAGAAAAAGTCAAGATTGAACTATAATATCATGGGTTCCTCCTATTATGTTTTATTCAACGACAGGACTCGTAACAACTTTTCAATAACTTGATTATAACTGGCGACTTGACAACCTTGCTTCATGAGTGGAAATGGAAGATTATCTGACCAATAACAAAACAACATAAAATCTGACGTCACAATTTATTCGATGTATCGTGGACGTATCGCCAAATGGCGGCCATGAAGCTTCGTTTGAAATGATTTCTGAAATTCAACAATTTCGAACAACGCATTGACTCATTATTAACATATAAAAAAGCGTGGGATTAGAAAAACTCAAGTTATGGAAAAGCTTGCGTTTTTTTTCCCTCAACGTGGAACTTTACGACCAATTATTACATTGACAGAGAAAAAGAAGTATATTCATCAGTTCTACCAAATCTGACCTCAAGTCCCAGTAGCGCGATCTGGTGGACTATGAAATAATCATATCCCTCATTAGGAACTGTCTTTCATTGAGTCTATGGCTTTTTGGCCTTCGCTAAAGTGCTGATCATGCACCACCTTGACGTTGACAGTCGTCAAAGTCAATTATCATGCCATTCAGGGGGCGGCTCCTATTATTCATTATGATTATATGACACCGCCTCCTTTTATGAGATGGTTTTTTTCACCTAATGTAGAAATCAAGAAAAATATGGGAGTTATAGTGCACGTGTGATTTAACAAGTTTGGAACATTATTTTTTTGTTAAATGACAACATTTCAAGGACACGATTGATTGCTATTTGCTAGCTTCCGGCCTATTGAGTCATGCAATAAACATCTTTTCAGGTGGACGTAGGGGAAATGTTCGACAGAAATTAAGGATTTCAGATTTCGGAATGGAATGGAGAATATTCAGAACACAATGTTCGAGGAAATGTTCCCAATCCAGTGATTTGCAAATACTCTGATATATATCTGTGATCATCATTATCATTACAATAATATCACGAAATATTTATTTTTATTAGAATGATAACAATTCTCTAGAAACTTATTCAAGTAGGTAGGTATACGATTGTTCATTGGAAATTACGAATTCTCATTTTCTATAAAACTTCTTACGAAACCTGAATTGAATAAAAGTTGGCACCAATACAAATACAAATAATGATACAGTATTTCCAGCGCTGAGTTAACAGTGGCGTAGCATTGAAATTTTCACAAAGTATATACTCGTTTATGGTACAGTACATTACGAATAACTCTCATATTTCATAAAATTCTTACAGAACTCCAATAAAAGTTGACACCTGAACTAATACAAATATAATAAATACATTATCTCTAGAGCTAAATCGACATCAGTGGCATAGCATCTAAAATTACGTTTTACAGCTATTTTATCAAGTGATTACTGAAATTTGAATGAACCTGGCCTTACCCCACTTTTTAAAAAGTTCAGGGTCTATTATTTTCTGAGTGTCAAGAAAATATCAGATCTAATATATACTGCGTTAAGATCATATGATTTGACACCACTCATTATGTGGAATGTAAGTGGGAATATTAAATCCGATTAAATCGAAACTTCTGTTATTGATACTTTGATATCCAATCACAAATAGTCAGTTTCAAATGTAAACACACAACTAATCAATTTGAAATCATCAACAAACACAACCCTCACAGACATAAACTGTTATATGATTGTCTATTCAGAAGCAGAGGCAGTTAGTTCTAAGTACCTATATAAGTTTTGAATTTACTCGGCCTTTACTTGATGGACATCCATAATAAATGTGAAAAACTTCACAAACGATAAGATTTCCACAAAATTCTTAATCACACGACATGTTTCGCTAACACAGTAGCTTCTTCAGGTAAAATACTGGTACAATTTACTGAACTTACATTGGCTTGCCTAACTTTTATATTCTATACTTTCCCATCTTGAAGGATTCGATTACCTGATGGAGAAAGATTCGATGAACCTTCATTTTCGGAAAATAGGCACAATATCTACATTGAAATAGGATGTAACGGATTAACATGAAAGGGTTGATTGCAAATACATATTATTACCTACTAAGAAAACAAATTCAACAGCGGTGAATTATTGAGGTTTAGTTGATCGTTAATTGAAATATTAGTTATTCAATAATTCATAAATTCTCAATTGAGTATTGGCATAATTAGTAATTAGCAATAAAAATTCAATTATCTCAAAATGTTCCCTTATGTATTGTGGCCTATTTATTACAATAAATTTCGGAATATGATAGATATATTAATCAAAGATTACTGAATTTATCTTCTGTAGTCTATGTATTAATTCACAAAGACATTTGAATCGGTGAACGTGACAACACGGCTTATGACTTGTGGGCGTGGTCTTGTCAGTTTTCAGCATTCAGCACAATGTTGCCAAGTCTCCAACATTTACATGATATTTTGTTATAGAGAATAAGAAATATTTGGCATGCAGGTTGCTCGGAAAAGTCGAGAACGAACAATAATATCATGGGTTCCTCCTATCATGTTTTATCCAATGATAGGACTATAACATCTCTTTGATAGCTTGATTATGATTGGTGACTTGACAACCTTGCTTCATGGGTAGAAATGAAAGATTATCTGACTAGCATAAAAGCTGTCGTCACTATTTATTCGACGTATCGACAAATGGCAAAGATTCGTTTGAAATGAGCTCCGAAATTCAACAATTTCGAACAACGCAGACTCATTATTCACATAAAAAAGCGAGTAAAAAAGCCTGAGAAGTGTTGCAAAAATTTAGTTAGGTTTATATCGACACAGTGGAGTAATTGAATCAACATAAGTTTATGAATGCATACACTATACTGCTAAAGTTAAGTTTGAATCATTTGACATATTTGACTGCTTGCTACCAAGATCATTTTCGACATATCAATATACTAATAAAAACAGCAACAATGCTCTCATGAAGACCTAATAGAAAATATCAATTTCGCTATTGTGTATGACTGCCACTGCCAAAAACTCGCCATTGGCCCTATTCCAGCGCTTCTCGAAAAAAAACAACAAACTCTCCCAAAATAAACCAGACAAAAATCATAACACCAAAAATACTTCCAACGTGTCACATCACACACACACACACACACACCCTCTCACCTCTGACTCACGCCGAACAGCTTTTTAATTCAAATAAAGTTGCAGACCAACTCTCAGAGCAGTACGACCACGACGCGCGTCAGCAAAATCTCCTCGTCGACCAGCCAGCGTCGGCACGTGACCTCCGACCTGAAGGCGTCCAACGTGCGCTCCGACCTCGTCGAGCTGAAGAACAACCTCAACGACATGAAGAACATCAGCCTGCCGAACAGCAACCTGGGCAACACGCTGATCCACCTGCGGAGCTCGCTGGACAACCTGGTGGACAACGACGACGATCCGATAGTGACGTTTCCCGATGACAACACGCCGGTGCCGTCAGAAATCGGCTCGCCGGCCATTGTTGCCGATACGCTCAAGTTCGAACACAAAACGGCGAATAACTTCAAGAAAACCATGGTAAGTGCGGGTGAATAATTGCAGGGGTTCGAACAGCCATCATAGGTATTTTTCAAAGAAAAACAGAATAACACCAAGTCGGTCGACCACAAAAGTTATATTACACAACATGTATTGTGACTAGTCTCGGCTCTAACAGCCATCTTCAGATACATCAGTACACAGTACCTGTAGAGACAATTAATTTACAGAGGGACAATAAGTTGTTGAGGAATGAACATACCTATAAAGCCATGTGGAAATCACATTATAAAATGAAAATAAAATCAAAAATGAAAGAGCCGTGGAGTCATTTGGCCAAAAAACAATCCGGTAGAGTAATACTTGAATTTTTGAACCGACTGAACCAGCCAAAAGAACCCAACTATCATCAGGATCAACAATGGCACGAACTTGGGAAAACATTTATAAACCTACTTTAATTCACTCAAACGAGTTTCATCTTCAAATAGTCATTTTGTGAAAGACAAAAGCCAAGGAAAGGGCGAAGCGTCAATCATAGCAACAGACGTTGACAAAATACAAGACAAATGACAGTGACAAATGATAATTTCTAAAAAACATCAACATTAATATTCAATATTTTTATTTTATAATGTGATTTCCATTTCGTGTAATATAAATTTTGTGGTCAACCGACTTGACGTTATTCTGACTCATCATAGGTCTGTTCGATTTGTTGCTAGCAGAGCTGTCCCAAAGCATTGTCTTAGTGCTCGTTAAAGCACTGTGCTCTCGAGCTCATTTTTGAACCAGTGCTTAGTGTTTTGAGCATTTTACGAAAAGGCTTAGTGCTTTTAGACCTACAGATAATGCTGTTTTGTTTGATGTTTTGGATCAACTTTGACGCGATGATTAATCTACAAAAAATACAGAAACCATCTCAAACAGGGATTCAACTGTATTTATAACAGTATCATCCTTTTCAAAAGTGCTTAGGCTTAGTGCTCCCTATGTCGAATTACTTTTTGAAAGTGTTTAGTTATCGCAAGCATTTTGTCAATTAAAGTGCTAGTGCTCGAGATCCCGAAACACTGTCAGTGCTCAGTACTTACAGTGCTCGAAGCACTTTTCGTCAGTGCTTGGCACATCTCTGGTTGCTAGATATGCTCAGAGAATGTCTAGCAGAAATGCGTATGTTCATTTGTGTCGAGCATTTGATCTAAATGTGTTCGTTTGTGTGGAGTAAATTGTTGTAGATTTAAAAGATCTATACTCGGCCAAAAATAGACGTTTTGGTAGAGTGTTGTTCGACATATTCCAAGGTTACTGACGGAAGGATGTGCGGACTGTGTCAGTTTATCAAGGTATGCTGGTGATATTGCTCCGGAGGAGTTTTTTCCTAAACGTAATTAGTTACAAAGGATGATGAATCGATGATTTCCAATTCGCAATTAGAAATTCGTTCGTGCCTAAATAATCTCAGTTCAAAATGAATCATCTATCGATTGAATAATCACAAAATGGATGCAGATAAATGACCCCGGGCGATAAAAGTAGTCAAAGAAAGATGATCGAGCATTTCGGAATTTTAAACACCCGTCTCGGCTGATTCATGTGGTTTCGAAATTGTGTTTTGTTTTATTTTTGAATAAAATAAGTGAAGCGGTGCCAGGTCAATGTGACGTATGGTAATAAAAATACTGCTGATAGTCAACATGAATGATGTAATATTGATATTAGAAATGTTTCCTTTCACATTGAATAAGTACATGTCTTTTTCAAGTTTTCGGAAATAATAAAACAATTTATTTGCTGTTTTCCAGCAATCTAGTCACTCGAGATAATAAACATTCCGACAAAGGCATTTTTATGGACCATGGACTATTAAGAAAACTGCGATATTTATGAGAGTAAACGGAAATTTGCTTTTTGAAATTCACCGACCACAGTTGTATAATGACTGACCTTGAATATTTTCATCACCGCAAAATCACATCAATGTGCGTCTGTAAATGGTTAAGAAACAAATTATTTGCAGTTTTAAAATCGTGTAGAATTAATTTTAACGATCGTCAATAACAATGTTAATTAAATCAACTTGAAGATATAAATACCTCAGATAGTTAATACTTAATATGCATATAAGTAGGGACCGTTTCGTAGACATCTGAGTGCAAGGATGGGGCAATTTGTGAACATCTGCTTATGTGGCCGTGGATTGATAACGAGGCTCTGGCAACCTAATCCAAGTTATGGGATACCTATGGTGTCGATAACGGGACATCTGGGAAACAGGGCGACATCTCAGAGTAAATAGCCTTAGCCCTATGCAGGGGGCACCATAGGGCTAGACCAATCCCTTCCCCATTACTCGTAGAAGGAAAACTTTTTGCCTTCTTCATGGACGAGAGTCCAGGGCTCGGAAGAGTACTCTTCAGGAACCTGAATGAAAAGGATCATTCAAATGAACCTCTGGTACTGTGAGCAGCAGTGCTCACCATCATCACCTCCGGAAAAAAATGGGAGAACATACATGTTGTTCCACGGGACAGGACATCTTGGCAAAAATGATTATCACCCCTTTATAATATAACCGAAGATTCCGTGTGTGGCTTTCTTCTGACTAGTCTACCCAAGGTCTACCAACGGTTTTAGTTGTGAAAATTCTTACAAACGGAGCGTTTTTTACCGCGCAGTCAAGAAAAGGGTAATTTGGTGTAATATTGAAAACGTAGTTATAGAGCCGTGGAGATGTATGGTAGTTGTGATTATTTTTTAAAATGAGTCCTAACTACAATAAGGGTGCGTTGCGTTGGAGCCACATTTCGGTCAAGCCACTTCTCGTTGGAGCTACATCTCGTTTAAGCCACATTTCGTTGGGTTTACAGTATCCGAACGCGCTCGAACGATGCGCTGATGCCACAAGATCCCTTATTTTACTGAGACGGATATTGTGGCTCTAGCGAGACATTGAAGTACACACCCTCATTCCATTCCATATCGTTCCAACCACATTTCGTTGCAGCCACATTTAGTTGGGCTCACAGGTGAGGAGAACTGAAGTTCACTAAGTATGCACGAACCTCATTTCAGATTGGTCACAATGAATCACGTGATTCGTGATGGACGCATGCGGATTAGCTCGTAGAAAAACTGAAAATTATATGAGCCATGTCATTGGTGGACCAGAGAGTAAAACTCCCTGATCAAAAAAGGTCTCAAAAATCTAAATCTAAAAATACTTATCAAATATCACGAATTCCGAGAATCCCGCGATGACACGTGATGAGAATCCTTCGTGAAATTAGGACTCTTTTAACATCTTGAATTTCATGAAAATGGTTGGTGGCCGTCACTTATTTTGTAGCTTCAACGAGATGTGACTACAACGAAAAGTAGCTTATTGAACGAGATGTGGTTTGAACGAAATGTGGTTCGAACGGAATGTGGCTTGAGCGAAATTAAGGTGTACCTCAATGTTTTGATGGAGCAATGATATCCTTTTCAGTAAAATCAAGGCTCGCGGAAAGTCATAAGACTAAATCGAAGTAAATCAAAAAGTTTTGAAGTAGTAATTAATTTGGAGGATATATACAGGGTGTCCGGAAAGGTTATGTCGTAAATGATAGGGTTGATACAGTGAGACAAAATATTGTTAGTACTTCATATAAAAAAATGTCTATCTCACTTCTTTACGGAGTTATGGACCTTGAAAGTGTCTGCAAGTCCATACATAAGGTGCATATTATGTGCACATTCATCATTACTAAATTATGACCACCGTATAAAATAATATAACAATGACTGCAACCACCATGATGTTATTGAATAAATCGAGTTTTTATTACCAATCTTTGAAACGGTTGGGATGTATGTTTAAATGTTCTTAAAATGTGATATTCTCTAGAGCGGTACAAGATATCGATTCAGATAAGGGATACTATTTTTGTAGAAGAAAGATGAAGGAATCAAATGGTGGAAGCAAAATGTCAAATTCGTCACCTCTGACGAAAATGCTTTCTTTGAACGGAAAAAAATCGCCCCCTCCTGTATAAAGCATAATCACTGAACAGCCGTTCACATATCGAAAGGAGTATGAGTTAATTTAGTTGCCCGATACCATGGCAACCGTGTAAAAGTAATACATGAAATAATTTTTATTAATTCAAACTTTCAAGGTGCGATAGACATTTTTTTAGTGTTCGGTATTCCAGGCAGAGGTGCAAGCTGTTGAGGCATGTCTGAGAGAGAATATCGCGAGAGGATACAGAGGCATAGATCTAAAACAAATCCTCATATGCTCAGATAGTCAGGCGGTCATTCAATCGTTAACATGCAATAAAATCAGATCAAGAATGGCCTGGGATTGCCTTCAAAGCCTTCAAAGCCTGCTAAACCTGGCTAACCACAACAAGGTAACGCTTCAATGGGTACTAGGGCATAAATTGAAGGCAATGAAGCAGCTGACACCCTTGCTAGGCAAGGGTCTGTGGACCGGAACCTATGTTCGGAATCCCCAAAACCTCAATACGCGGCTGCCTGGCAAGTTGGTCGCAAGAAAGGCATCAGGCATACTGAACAACGTTTCAGGACACAGCAAACTGATGGTTAAAAAACAGGAGTTAGGAGTTGAGGATGAATATGCATCAGATGGGCATTCATACAGACGAACTAATATGCAATGAGGAGGAGGAAACGGCCACTAGCACGTTGGAGATACAACCCTGGGACCACTAAACTCACATGAGGTTTTTCCAACGAAAGATTTGGTGAAGAGGCTGCTAAACCTCATCAAGGCAGCGAACCTGTTCACCTGAGTTCACAGCATGATCAGAACTACAATAGGCCTAAAGGCTGCAGTGTTTTAGGCTTCGAACCCTGACTGGTCATTCTGCTATAAATCAATTAATCAATCAATCAACACTATCTTAGCTCACTCTATCAGCCCCATCATTCATGACATGACCTTTCCGGATACCCTGTATACCTAATACCTATGTATCCTTCATGGAAAATAAATTAATCAGTTTTTAGAGAGTTTATAGGCAACGTTTCTAAGATTCCACACATCATAATATTTCACAATATTTCATGAAAAGTAGAGTTCGTCTGAGAAATATTCCTACGCGTCAATTACCATAAATTTATTGCAATAAGTAGGTGAAGAACAGATGCTTTGAATTTTTCATTAAAATTGTTTCGATTAATTATAAATATTTATGGCGTTCGCTTCGAAGATCGATAACGAGCTGGAGTTGATTTGAATTGGTTTAATATAAAGACACGTTCATCGGCTTTGAGAATGTAAACATCGAACGAGTTAGGTAAAACCACAATTCTAGTATGGATAACCTATAATGCGTTCCAATATAAGCAAGTCCCACTCATAAGGATGTACTTATGACAATAATTAGTAATATTCTCGATATTATGGTACCATATATCGAGCCATGTATAATTCCACAGCTTTGTCCACCAGATTCCTAGAAAATCTTGTTGGAAATCATTAGACTGCTTTTGATACCAGATTCATAAGGCATCATAATGAGTAATACTTAGATGGAGAGAGTATTGGCATAAGTGTTCATATTGAAAGAAAATATCCTGATGATTCGGTTTTCAGGATAAGATACATAGTTTGGATTGTATGATGTTCTTAGATTCCACATTCACTAGCTCTTTGACCTCATGAGAACACCGTAGAAAAGTCGGCAACCTTTCACTTTTTTATAGATACTTCCACATAAAAATGTTCTTCATAAATATCTGCTATCATTCCATCACTAGCAATGCGAGTCAGACGAACTCAAAAAGCCCAGTCTGCACATCCCTTCGCCGTCAACCTTGAGATATGTCCAACAAATCTTTACCAAATCGCGTTTGTCTATAGAACAGCAAAGCTCTAGAACTCTTTGGAAGTTTTCCCAAGAACTTATAATCCCCAAAAATTTCAAATACATCCCGATACCAACCTCCTCTCCCTATATCCTCTCTAGGCACGAACGATGTTCTTCTAACATAGTAGGGATTTCCTTCCGTGTGCCCCAAGAGATGAAAGGAAAATAAAAAACAATATATAGATATATGAAACTGTCAGCGAATACAACTTTAATACGTTTTTGGTCGATCGGAAAAGCACGAAGAATAATTATTTTATTAATCATGTTATAAATCTGCTTCCAGGCTGCATGAACAGTGTGAACACAATACCTTTTGTATGCAAATCGACCGTTCGATAGTTTCAACAATTCGTCATGTCTGTCAGTCTGTTGGACTATTATCCAGACAAGTTTTCATCACGAAGTGCTTATTCAATTTCACAAAATCATTTGGGTACGTTTTTTGTTTCTGATTCTTTCATCTCCAGCCTCCAGCAATTCGATAGTTGAGTGTTATTTTTCAAAATGTTAGGTTACATTTTAGATGACAATGTTTAATTTCCAGAAATTGTCTCTTAATTTTCCGATATGCTTGCTGACTTATTGTTGGCTATTTGAACATTAAAAGATTAGGTACATATTAATCGTTATAATTATGATTCATTATTCATCATCTTTTTTGTCTTATCAGTCTCACTGTAGGTTTGAATGAATGATGATAAATGATAAAATAAGATGATTTTAAACTTCCCAAACATGTAACAATTGATAGAGAATTGAACTGTTTGGCAAATTAAGATCATTTTGATGATTCAAGATTTAGGAACCATCCCTAGTTCCAAAATGTTCGTCACTTTGATACGATGTTCATCATATCGTGAGTTTTTACAATAATTACTCTCACTGGTAATTTCTGAAGAATAGCAATAGCTTATTTTCATTTATTTTCCATTTCTACGGAGATGGCACGTTTAGTTGCCGAAATACGTATTTAGCACTTTCCTAATATTATTGTGGTATTTCGGGTATATTTTGTATTTGATTATTCAACCATAATAATAATAATAATTCTTTTTCTATTTTGCGTCTTTAATGAAGTCATTTCAACACCCAAATGCGTATCGAAACAGCTTCTATTTATAAGGACAAACTGAATTTATTTTCTCATAGTTGGTAATGGTAATGTCAAAATGTCAGACACGATTGACAGGAATATTGTGTGATTAGAGAATGAACATCCGATTTTTTTTTCATTGTTACCAACTACTTTAGGTACTTCATATTTCTAATATTTGATGTTTTTATTGATGAAATTATTTTGAATACAAGAGTACAAATGAATGCTACATTGAAAAAATAGTAAGTATATTACACACGTTTTATACGACATATTTTCGCACTAGTTTTTTTGGAACACTCCTATCGCTTCGCTCGTCGTACCCCAAATAACGCTTGCGGCAAAATAGTGTCTTATAAAACTTGTATGATAATAAACTATTATTGTTTTTTCAGAAATTATAATCTTATTGCAAGAAGTCTGAATCTGCACAAACTATAAAAAGCACAAACTGGAGCTTAAACGCTAACGACTCTTGAGAGAAAAAGGTGGTACACCATGCATAGTCTCCAAAACTCCATTTTCTCGAAAATTCGGATCTAAAACATTAGTTTATTTGATGGTTTGTTTTTATTTTGGTGAGTTCTATATTGCCTATCAGATTTTTCCGATTTAAATCTAACACACCATGTATAGTGAATACATTATCAATATCAACATAAATTTTGCTCAATTATCATGATTGTATTAGTCGTAATCGATTCTAAATTCCCAATTGTTCGAATTTGATACAATAATATAATATAATTTTTTTGTGCTCTTCGTACAAAATATGTTTTATAACAATTAATTAATTATTCTTTGGATGTTTTGGGAAAGTTTCCATAAGTTGTTTGGTCTGATAAAATTATTTTGAATTTGACAATTGTTTGATTCAGAAAGTGTCATATATTCTACACGTTATTTGATTGGTTGTCCAATTCCCCTTCCGCCTCTAGCAAGTTTCGTTATTATGAAATGTCTAGATATTTTAAAGATGCGTACGAAATATTTGTATAGTTAGGTTGGTTTGTTCTAAGGTTTTCTTTTATATTCTTCTCAAATACCATACAAAATCTAGTTACTCATATGTTACATGCTGACTCAATTTCTCGTTTTTTTTTCAAGCTTGAATTTTCTGTATTTTCTTCTGTTTTAGGTGATGAAAGATGGCATGAGTGCTGAGAAGGAGAGCGCCAAAGTTGCGGAATCCAAGAAGCTGCAAGCTGGCGATCTTTCGTACGAAGAAAACAGCGCTGCGGCCGCCACGCGTGCCAGACTCGAGATCGATGGAGTTTCTGCCGAAAAAAGTCAATTGACAGCTAAGGTATGGCCATGCTTCGTGCAACGTATAACATTATTCGCCTTTCCGAACAAAAAACATAGCATTGCCTACTGATTTTTATTATTTATGATGAGTTCGTTTCCGAATTGACATTATATTTTTCACGTATTATTATGAGACTAGATATTTGATAATATTGTACTGAATACAATAATGGAATTGCAAAATCTATCGTATGATTTTGGTAATTTAAGAAAGAATTTGAGAAAATCCCTAAATTCCAATAGTAGTCTTATGCCAGAAATGACAAGAATATACATCACGCTGATTCACGACGGTGGATGGCACATTAGACGTTTCTGGTGAACCCGATACCGGATCATGTCGAAAAATTGATGGAAAGCCTATATTCAGACATTCTCTACCCAACTAAAATATTTTCGACAATGCGGTGTTGCCACTTTTATTAGAAAGTAGTAGGAACTTTGATATTTCAAATGGAACACCCTGTATATATTTAATTGCATTTTAAATTCTTCCTGAAGAGCTGATTTCATTGATGCATCATACTTGGGGTCTTGTGGGAATGATGATTTATATTATATAAGTTGTTCAAAATCGAGATTATTCATCTTTAGGTTGTTTTTGTGTCGAAACTATTCATTATCGGTCAGAATGGCTATCATGTCCCCATCTTAATTTCTGACACTTAATTGGAACAGATGCAGGGAGATTCAAGTAGATAGTAAATCAAAAGTTGAGATGAATCCTAATGTTGAAAAATAAGGCCGCCGCATATCACATAGGGTGATGTTACAAATACCGGGGGACACAATGGTATCTGGCCACTCCTGTATCTTCTGCATTCGTGAACAGATTTTTCTGAAATTTGGTAAACATTCTAGATATAATCACATTACAATCCAATATGGCGGCCTTCCGTTTTTTCTGGAAATACCAGCAACTTTGTTTTTTCAAATGGAACACCCTGTATAATTTCACATATTCAAGTGCAATCTTCATGAAAAGATTCAAAACTGTTATTGTCCACAGCCTACCTGGAAAACTATTCGAACTGCAAGGAAAATCATGAAACTAGTTGTTAATTTGTTACTGCATCGAAATACACGAATAATATATCAGTTTTTTTCCTCAATGTATGGCCTAGACTCTAGAGAAACATGTAGTGATGTGATGTGTGATGTGACTGAAACGATTCATCGATAAGTGACACGAAAAATAATTTTTCAGGAAAAACATGTTTCTCTAGTTTGTGGGACTGATTGTGAATAGCCTTGACCACATCTCATTTATCCACGAGGTGAAATAAAAACACTATTTTAATTTCAATTTGTTCTAAAAAATAACATTTGACATAAAGATTGCACTTGTTTCGACCTGTTGGACTCGAATATGTGAGAATATACACACTGTTCCATTTGAAAAAACAAAGTTGCTGTCATGTCCAGGAAAACCGGAAGTCCACCATATTGGATTGTAATGTGGTCAAATCCGAAATGGTTGCTTGTATAACTGTACCAAATGTAAAAACATCCGTTTACAGGGGTGGCCCGATATCCTCTGTGTTACTCGGTATATCTGTTAGTGAGGACAATTTAGATGAATTGATCTCATTGTATATTCAGTCTCGAACAAGGTTCGTGAAACATGTGATAACACGTTTAATTTAATCAGATAAGCCTTATATTTATTTATGTGCTATCGATGGTTGTTTTTGTTGTGGGGTATTTTGTTTGTTTTCAATTTGATGGATCGTTCTATCAATAAAAATTTTTCGGATTGTAGTTGAGTTGAAGAACCTTTTTGATGTGATCGATTTCGTTATTGAACTTGGTCAGTATGGTACAAACTGTATACTTGGTAAAGTTACCAGCTTGGTTTGGTACCGAAATACTAAAATAGTATGATGACCAAGACGGTGTAAACATTTTGGTCTACTTTTGTATAGCCTAGAATTGACTTGAGTGCAAGTGGCAGTCATTTCATTAAATTTCAGCTAATTTCGCATTGTACTAAAAGGTTTTATTCTCAATTTACAAATTTAAGTGGAGTTCCACAACCTAACCTCAAAAAAATAATCAAATCAAAACAAAGTTGGTAACGTTAGTCAACTGAAGATACATGGTGTAAACATGCGTTAACTGAGGCATTTGTTCAGAAATTTAGTTAGATCTCCTTGGGAAGCATACCAATTATCCATACGGTATAAACATGGCCATTAGCCGTCTTTTAATTCTGATTGGTCTAGTAGCGTTGATGTTTTCAACGATTCAACCATGGATAGCGAAGCAAAGTCTGGATGTAACCGTGGATAGCGAAGCAAAGTCTATCAGTTCGGCATAAAATAATTATGGCTGTACTTGTCACAGCAATACCACTCGTCCTAACGGATTCGTGGTGTTGGTCGGCAACACAATTTCGTGAACAATGAAGCGACAGAATTAGGATTTTCAATTAATTAAAAGCATAACAAATGTCCTTCTTCTTGATGGGGAAAAGAGCATGATCATACACTGGATTTTGGTTACTTATTGGTTGGTTGGTTATTTTTTAAATAATATTTTGGTGTGAGATTGTCTTACCAAATACTACTCTAGCTTCAATTACTATTTTTCTAGAACACGATTTAATATTCGTGTTAGAAAAATATCTAGTAATAATTAGAGCTCTCGTCGTATTATAAATGAAAATTGAGAGTTACGGTATGAACTCGGTATATAGGTACATATTTTGGGACAAATCATCTGATACAGGTATATCGAATTAATATTTATATTTTTATTTATAGAGACTAGGAGAGAAAATCCCAAAAATGTCCGCCTCACCCATTAACCTACAGAGACAGGACAGACAGTATATTGTTCTCTATAGACACTCAAATTTCAAACAATTGCTGCGCTAGATCTGAAATTCAATCGTGAAAGAAGTAGAGACTGGTGTTTATATGACTTGTATAAAGTCCTACAATTTCAAACAATGTTTTTCCATACATTTTGTTTACAAAGTATGACTCTCAATTATTTATCGTCCTTCCATTTGAAAAATATCACCGCGCATTACTTGATCTTTTAACGACTTCCAGTCATGCATCCCACCTGGCGAGACCATTTTTCCAGAAAATCCGAACTGAAATCCTTGACCCGCGCTTCTAAGCCATTTTATCATTCCCCCCTGGTTCGCTTCGTTCCCCCCCATTGCGGTGTTATTCAGGTCATCACCAGAAACGCCAACACTCCTTCTCAGGTGTGCCGCATTATCGATGTAAATAAACCGCATAAAATGATAAAAATATAAAAACATATATACAGTGTGTCTTAGCATGCGGTGCTTCGACTCTTCTATGAAAAAATTACCATTATTTCTGTTGAGTGAAGCCCATGATACGTCCATGGTAAAGCCCTACTAGTTTCGAAATAAACTGCACAACATTCTGAATGTTGAGTCGAAAATTTCACACCTAAAATTTTCGACCAATCAACTAAACAAAAATGTTTCCTCCTCTTTTGGGCAAGGAGCATGAAATTACATTGGGAATTTTTTGTCGTTCATTATAGGTAAAATGACATTTACATTCAACTTAACTTCAAATTACGTTGAATTCTTTTTATAAATTCCTTGTAAGAAAATATATTTCTTCAAACTTTCGCTAGAAGAATTTTAAAAAGAAAACTACGAGATTGGGCTACTTATTTCATTATTTTTTCATTCAACTCAAGTCGTTCAATCGGTCTTTAACTTGAGCAGAATTCATTGACACTAAATAGTACTTCGAGAAAATATATTTCTACCTAACTTTAGTGAAATGAATTGAGAAAAACTGAGAAATTGAGGTACTATCGACTTTTTTTTTTCATGTTATGGATATGAATTATACTTATACTACATACTGTCTAGTTCCTTGTAACTAGATATATTTCCATCAACTTTATTAAAATCAATTCAGTCAAGAATAATAGTTCGAACGACCACCAGCTGCCTTATATTAATATCATGTGTGACTAAAGTCGGTATTTTATTCATCGTAATCTCATCCTAGTATTTTTTATTAATGCTGGTCTGAATTTTTTAACCGAATACCATCTAGCTTCAATTAAAAACAGGAAATTCTTTCTCGAACACGAATTATTCGTGTTCTAGAGGAAATTTCCGGTTATAAGCTCTTGTGGTATTATAAGTGAAATTTTTTTGTAAAATTTGGATCATTATAACAACCGAATTTCTTTTATCCTGAATGCTCGCTTGAGCGGATATTGACCGCAGTTGGTTGGATATATCCACCACAGGATGGTCACAGATTATTTAATCTGTGGGATGATGAATACCTACTGTGCAAAGGGCTTCCGCGGGGATATAATTTTTTTTTGTAAATTTTTCTGATATCAAGAACATGTTACACAATTTCAATTCTAACTGCTGGAATATGTTTTTTGAAAAGCATGAAAGGTCTTATCAACAGGTTATTGAATACATTGTGGTCTCCAGGACACGATTAAACTACTAAGTAAGACAACAATAATTAACGAACCAAGTGTTATCACAAACAAGGAAAGAGTGAAATATCGTAATTTTGGAAATATCGATTTTTATATGTTTTTTCTTGAGAACATCAGCATGTCATTGTACTCAAATGTTTGATCATGTTATGTCTTTTTTGGAAACTCCGTAATATTTGTGGAATTTAGGAAAGAATTTCAATGGACATGATGATAAAAGAATCTTCACCCGAACACCTTTATCGTTATTTATCATACGATCTTGAGACGTCATATTCAATACCATCGAGTACTCTTCTAATTATATATTAACGAGATTTTACTGAATACATTGATTGTCGTAATACTCGTAATCGGTTTAACTCATATACATATAAGTTTAGAAATAATGTCCAAACAAATCCATGCGTGAACACACGATATCCTTCGAAAAACACCACACAATCAGATAAAAAACAAGCGCATAATTGATGCATGTAATCAATGTAATCATCAATATTCAACACTTCTGTTGTTCAATTGGTTGCA